GAAAGGTCTTAGCTCCAGAATATTCAGATAGAAAAAAAAAAGAAACTCAACAGCCAGACGAATGTAAACAAAAAATGGATTGCAAACATCTTCCAAATGGAAGAGAATCCGACCCACTAGACCTTATCACCTTTCACCAAAGATGAAAACCTAAAAGGACGCCAGTTCAGACCCACCTCCCTGGGATGGAAGGCTGTTCTAGCACAGACCTTAAGAAAAGGTGGTAAGCAGTCACCACCTTTTCGTCGGCGATCACCATCGCCAAGATTTGAACTCTTCCAAATTTTAAAGCTAAAAATAAGTTTTTGAAAATTATTTTTTTCTTCCTACTTCAAATTTTAACTTAGATTTTTAGTATGTACGTAGATGTAAAATAAAGAAATATACCGATGAAAGTAAGGTTTACCAGAGCTTAATTTTCAAAAATAAAAAATAAAAAACAAAATAATTATCATAGTGAAAATTTGAACTCACCATCTATTAGTTAAAAATAGGTGTCTCGATAAGTTGAATTATGCTTAAGTTGGTTGTGTTCATCCTTTGAGTTGATAGATTATATTTCATTTTTCATATATATTTTTTTTTATCGTTGAGATTGAATTATATGGAGAAAAAACTTTACCAATATATATATATATATATATATATAATTTTAATAAGTTCCTAAACTTCCAATTTTGTTTTTTATATATAGTTTTAATAAGTTCCTAAGTTTTCAATTTTCAATGTTGTGTCTAATAGATCATTAATTAACCTATTTAACATTTTTTTTTCAATTAACAGATCAGAGGCAATAATATTGAATTATAGAATCCCAAACTTTCAAATTTGTATCTCATAGGTTTAATTTGTAAATTTTGAAAAAATTTAAATAGATTAAAAACTAGACACAGAATTGAAAATTTAGGTTCTAGACGTAAAAATAAAAGTCTAGAGACCTATTTGACACTTTTTAAAATTTAAGGATCTGTTAAACCTAAAATTTAAAGTTTAAGAACTTATATTAGACACATGAAACTTCTAACACTAAATTTATAATTTATTATATTATTTTATTTTTAATGTACTATGTTGTTTAATATCTGAAATGAAAAGATCTAAACTAGCCTTATGGTTGGATTCAAATTTTCCTCTCTATATTCTTAATAAAATATTTTAAAAATTAGAAATGAAAAATAGTATTTCATTTCATTTACAACTTAAAATTTTTGAACTGAAAGTGAAGTATCCCTTACAAAAGCTTACCAATTATAATCAGTAATTTCCCTAAAATGTAATATATATATATATATATATATTTTTTCTTTTTTAAATTATTGGAATTGATTTATATGGACCACCATGCTGCTCATATTTTACTATGTTTTATTTCTATTTAAATTGTTTAACATTTTGTAATTAAAAAATCTAAGCATAGAAGCATAGTTAAAGTGGCTGAAGAGAACGAATTTATACATCAATTTAAATTTTATCCATATTCTTATATAACATTCTAAGAAAAATCACTTTGAAATGAAAATATATATATTTCATTTTATTTGTCAACTCTCTTACTTCAAAGTCTAATTAATTTCGAGTTTGAACCAAAAATTTCAACTACCACTTTCAATAAAAGAAGTCAAACTTTCGAGTTCTAAATTATAATATTCTTATTTATTTCTTTCCATGAAAAAAATAAATAAGTGGAGGATTATTGCTGACAACCATTTTATTCATTTTCTTAAAAGTAAAAATGTTTACCGACAAATTCCTTTATCTGTTTCTTTTTAAAACACACTTAGAATTCTCCTAAATTACAAAATTAAAAAATCATTTTCCAAATTTAATTTTTGATTTTCAAAATTTGAGTAAATTTACAAAAGTATTTTTGTAAAAAAAAAAAAATTCATATATAATTAACTTTTTTTAGAANTTTTTTTGGAGTACTTGTTGAATGCTACTAGTAAATGGATATGCTTTTGTCCCATATTCTTCCTTTTTTCTTATTTTTTTCATTCATTTGAAGAAAAAACGATAAGAAATGGTATGTATATGTACATATATATATATATACTTATTAGAATTTCTAAAGTCTCGATATTTCATTTCAACCATAGATTCTAAAAAAAATTTCATGAAAAATTTGTTTAAAATAAAAATGTAATTACTAAATAATTCTTGATATATATATTTTTTCAAAAATACTTATTACGTTCCATGAAAAATATAAATTATAATACTCTATTTATTTCTTTACGTGAAAAAAAAATAACTAGAGGATTATTGCTTGACAACCATTTTATTTATTTTCTTTAAAATAAAGTGGTTTACTGACAAATTTCTTTATTTTCACTTTCTTTTAAAAACATACTTAAAATTCTCCTAAATTATAAAAACAAGAAAAAGTTATTTTCTAGATTTTATTTTTGTTTTTAGAATTTGAATAGATTTTCAAAAGTATTTTAGTGAAAAAAAAGGAGAGGAATCATTAGTTTATAACCTTGTTTTTAAAATTGTTGAATGCTATTAAGTAAATGGATATGCTTTTATGCCATATTCTCCTTCTTCTTCTTCTTTTCTTTTCAATTTGAAGAAAAAGTAAATAAGAAATCGGACATATCAAAGCATATACTATGTATGGGAACCATTAAAAAAAGATATATACTTGTAAGAATCTGAATTCTCTCAAGATTTCATAAGCTTAAAAAATTTAAATCTCAGTTTCAATATTTTTTTTTAAAACAAAATTGTATTTACTAAAGAATTCTTTGATATATTTACTTTTTAAAAAAATACTTCTGAATGTTTACGTAAATTTTAATAACGAAAAATGCCCTTTTCTTTTTTACAATTTACCATAAGAAAATATGAACAAGAGATGATATATTGTCATTTATTTATTATTATTTTTTTAAAGCTCCTATCATACCCTTTACTTTTTTTTCTGGTGAGAGACATTATACCCTTTACTTTTAAAATATTAGAAGATATTATTTAATTTTTAAAACTATGTATTTCAATTTTTTCCAAATATTTTAATATTTACCCTCATTATATAAAATTAGATTAAATTTTCGGTTTTCCTTCTAATAATATAAATAAATTGTTTTTTTGAGTTTAATTTCTTGGTTTAAAAATTGTATTAGTGGATATTTATCCTAACTCAAAACCCTTTTAATTTTAGAGAGAATTATTGGTTCTCGTAATATAAATTGAATTTGATAAGTTTTATCATTGCAAAAATGTAAATTGAAATAAATAAGATTTATAATAACAAGATAAAGTATGACAGTAGTAGCATGTCAGGAGAATAAATTATGACAAAAAAAAAATTCAACTACATAAACGATATTTAATATAAAATTAAATCAAATTGTAATTTCATAGACATTTTAATTATTGAATAATTACTTTATTTTTTCCTATTGTTAAATAAAATTAAAAAATTTAAAGTGGACATGACCAGTATCAAAATCATTTAAAAAAAAGAAAAAAAGAAGAAGCCAAAAAGATATAATGGGAAAAAGATTCCCAGTCAGATTCCATTGGCTAAATTTCACTAAATAAACGTCACTTATATTCCCAAAATTTGCATTCCACGTCACGTTACATTACAAGCTTGAGAAAAAAAAAGGAAAAAAAAAAGAAAATATCTCTCTTAAAAAACCATTTATATTATAATATAGTTAGGGGCAAAGTGCAAAAGCCACCCGTTGTTACCATTGCACCCCTGAACTATCCATTTTAAAAATTAAATCCTCAAACTTTCACAAATGAAAAAAATTAGACCCTTAAACATTCACAAATAAAAATTAAATCCTTAAACTTTCACAAATGAGAAAATTGTCCCTAGTAATTTTTCGATTGTAAAAATGAAATCCTCGAAATTTTTAAAAATGGAATCTACTTCAATTTGTCCAATTGAAATGGGTACTTAGCTGCGAGGATGTTGAACTTTCATATTCCAATGAGTACAAGGAAGAAGATGAAGAATACAAAGACACTAAAATCAATCTCTAGAGCCAAATCGATGAGTAATCCACCTCCAATTGATGAGGTGGAAGCAAAACTCCAAGCTTTTCAGCTCAAGTATGACTCCACTCCTATTCCCCTTCTTAGATAGCTAATTCGAAGAACCTTCATTTGTGAAAGTTTGAGGGGTTAAATTTTAGAATTGAAAGTTCAGGGGTGAAATTGTAACAAATATCATACTTTAAGAATGGTTTTTGCAATTTGCCCTATTTTTATTATCTATAACCTAAAACTTTTAGGATTAAACTACGAGGTCTTACTTTTCGGATATGCCTATTAAATTTATGTGGTTGTACTATTTCGTCCTTATAGATTGAAAAGTTTCAATTAAGCTATTAAACCTTAAAATTTTCACAAGGTACACTTCTATAATTAATTTTGTTACTTTTAACATTTTTGTTACTATATTATTTAAGAACTATGCTTAAAACTAATTTTGTTACTTTTAACATTTTTGTTACTATATTATTTAAGAACTATGCTTAAAACCATCATACAACGTTATTATTACATCATTTGGGTGCCAGTCTAAATAACTATTTGGGTGACAATATAAGTATTAGACAAATTAACCGTTGCAAATTAGACAACGAATTAAAAGTTCAAGAAATTATTAAAAAAATTTTAAGTACAAACTAAATTTACACAACCTTAAAAATTTTTGGACGAAATTTGTAATCTAACTCAAACTAAATTTGTAATTTAACCTATATTAAATACAACATTTTCCAATAAAAAATAAATAGTTCATTTAATCCTAAAAAACCAAACTTTAGTTAAAGACATCTATTATGGTTTTAGGAGGCAGGAAAAATTGATAGTTATTTATAATTTAGAAAAATTGAAGAAATCTATTCTCTCTCTTTTAGTTTTTTAATAGTGATTGGCATGATCTGAATAACTGATAAGTCCTTTAATAGGTCATAAGTATTTGGAGAAAAAAAAAAGAAGAAAAGTCAAAGACATATGAAAAGAAAGATTTTGAGTCAGATTCCAGAAGCAAATTTTACACAAACATTCACTTTATATTGCCAGCATTTTGCATTCACGTCACATCACATTACAAACTTGAAATTGAAAAAAAGAAAAAAAAAACTAGTAATTAGAATACCATTTCTCTTCTTCCTCTCTCTCTTTCTTCTCTCTCCTTTTTCTATTTTCTTTTTCTTTTTTCTGGGATTTTCTCACTTCCCAAACACTTTATACAACAAAAAGAAAATTTTTGGGAGGGAAAAAAAAGGATTCCCTGATTCCACTTCAACCTAACAAAGGAAAAAAAAGCCTCAAATTCTTCCAAAGCATTTAAGAAACCAAAAAAAGAAAGAAGATATCGACAGCACAGTTCTCAACTGTTATCTCTCTCTAGAACTTGGGTGGAATTAGAAAACTGAGCTGTGGAGCAGCCATTAATGGAGTCCGAAGCTGAAGGTTGAGGTCTCTTATTCACAAGGTGGG